CCCCCCCCCCCGTAATTTCCTCGAAATTTAGGTGATGCGCCCCTTATAATTTCCGAGGGAGGTCAGAGATGCTCCAAAACAACGTCAATTGCAGTCAAAAAGAAATTAGTGGAGGGTGCAGGCGCAGGGTGCACTGGTCTTCTCTTTAGGGGGTCATATTTGGGCCTAGAGTTGGCCGATTATGGATGTTTAGGCGTAAATTCAAGGTGAAAGTTTCCGCACTTTTCAAGTTTGATGCAACTGCAGCGCAATTCGATCAGGAACCCGACGTTTAGGATCATGACTGCCGCCCCCCCCCCCCCCCCCCCNTACTTACTCCAAAGAAGGGTTAGGAGGGAGAATTTCAGGACCATAAAATTGGGAATCCTTCGGGTCGACTCCCTATTCATCCCCGCGGGCCCTGACTTCATGTGACAACCGAGGAAAAAGCCTAGTACGCGTGGATATTCATGTGCGCGCGACCAGAGTAGTCCCCGCTTATTTGAAAAGTGGCGCGTCAATTTGTATATTCTGCCGAGCCCGCCACTGGAATTGGCGGGAACCAATGAGAGTGCGAGTTTCAACTTGTTTACATTTGCGTTATTTTGATGAAGGAGTTGTAAACAAACGTGGTTCATCGTTTTCTCGTCAGTGTTGAGTATAAGTTCTTTGAATATTTTAAAGTTGTGCGAGGTACTTAATTTTTGGTACGAGTGCGAAGTAGCTTTATTGGCCTATCTTGACCACATACCTCCAAACAACCTTTAATTCGGTGTTCCCTCGTTCAGTTTCGATCGTTACAAGTCTGCATCTCAAGGTGTGCTCTCAAAGTATCTGTAAGTTCTCACTATTATTTTATTTTTTCATCCTCGCAGTTTCACTATGACTGTACCTACTGTCCGAAACTATGAAGGCTCTTACATCCCAGGAAGTTTCAAACCTTCCATTTTGGTTTGTTCACCAATATTTAATGCTCCAGGGATTCACCTGTCATGTTGTCATCTCTACCTACCCACTCAAATGTCTTTGAATGTCAGCATCTCATCAGTTAGTTTATACTTAAATTCAGCTCAAAGAGGGGTTTCATAGCTGAGGAATAAAATACCTCTTGCTTAGAAATAAGACTATGGCTGGTCTTGGTCAAATTTAGGGTCTAATTTATGGAGTATTGTCTATTAGGTGTCAGCTAAAGTTTGATTCTCCGATGATGATCATGCCTTAATAATGGTTGATTTCGTCTCTCAGGTCATGCAGATTCATGCATAATATAATGGAATAAACTTTTCTTGAAGCCTTGTAGCCTAGGCACTCATTGTTCAAGAAGGAAAACAGAAGAGAATATCCGATGACAGGTAAGAAAGACTAAGTGCGTTAAGGCTGCCATGAGCATTCACATCAAATGTCAAAATTGATAAGTCTTTGACCTTCTTTCATTCAACTCTACTTTTTCCCTTGTTCACCTGCTGCACTGCAGCAAATAGTTAATCTTTCCTGTTGAAACCTACTTGAACGCACTTGTGAAGCAGCACAAAAGGCTTCCTAAGATAGTCGGACTGTTAAGGCATTTTTATAATTTACCCATATTAAGTAACAGACACTGACAAGTGTGTGTTTATTTTGATTATTGAGTGCCTAATTGTTAGTTTGTATTCTTTATTTGAACACTTATCTTGCATATTAATAAATGAAATGAATATTGTTTTTCTCACGGAGACAGATCTGTGTCTGACAACATGGTGGACTATATGCATGTTAAGAGAAATTGTCAGGAACAGCTGCCATGGTTCGTGGTTACTGCAAATCTCTACCTAAGTAAGTATCACTGCCTTACATTTTTAAGTACTTTCCTTGAAGACAATATTGCCTCCCTACTAATCGTCGGAAGGTGGAAAAAAGCACTGATTTAGTCCTAAGTGAGCAGCTCAATCAAATATAGGAAGTAAAGCAGCGACTGTCTGGCAGTGGCTTGGTCTCCACAAGCATGGCTTTCTTATAGGAGCTAGTATCGGTGCAAGATTTTTATCTGATTGTACCTATTTTCCTTTTGAGGCCAGTAGGCGGACTGGTAAATAAATCAAATTTCAGTATCTTTCATGATTAGGTAACTCTTCTCCTATTAAATCAGAGATTATAGAAAGTACGCATCAAGCTCTTCATCATTTTTGTTCCCAAATGTGGGTTGGTATGCAAGAGAACAAAATGTACACTTATTTATCCAGAAGAAATATTTTGAATTAATTTCAAATGTGTGCGCAAGAGCTCACAACATGCTCTCGTCGGCATGTGAAAGGTCCTGTGGAATACTAAATCAAAGAAAGGGACATCGACTCCATTCCACATTCAACTGTGAGTTTAATAATACTATGTTAGGAATATAACAGCTGATGAGTCAACAGGTCCCTCTAGCCCAATAGGATTCCTCAGGAGAAATCGAGAAAATATGTGTCTGCAATTTACCACAAGATCTCTGGATCAAGAGTGGATATTGCAAACCCTCCTTTCCCCCTTCCTTTTCCACAACTGAGCCAAGGTTTCAATGAATTGGCACCCTTAATAGGATAGCAGCAACCGCAGCAGATCTGGTTGATCAGTCTTATTATCCATTTCAATAATTTGCTTTCAACCAACAAGCAAATGCCTGCATTGCTCTCCGATTTGTTCATTAGTTTCAAGTCATTCATGGGGCTCTCAGAACCCAATGTAAACAACCCTGTTGTGGAGGAATTTGTATCATTGAGGAAGAAATAAATGACACTCCCAGAAGAGGTCTAAGTACTTCCTGGCGAAAATATCATCTGAGGTTTGTAACTCATAATAGTAGTTGGAAATTAACAAATACTCATTACATGTAGAACTCTGTAAATTGGGCTCTAATAGCTCCATGAAATTCTAGACCAATCAGAAAGTGGCCCTGTTACTATGCAGTATGCACTAAAAGAATTGAGATGCGGCAGTACTTTCCGGTATTCTGCCGCGCTAAGGAAAAACGCCGTATGAACATTCGAGAGTTGCCCAATTTCACTTGATAAAACATGTATTTTTGATGACATTCATGCATATTTTTCCTTGAAATTTTCAGGTATTTTCGATCAAATTGCGTACAAATTGTCCGAACATTTTGGGGGAAAAAAAATCCAAAATTGTCCGAACATTTTGGGGGAAAAAAAATCCAAAATTTTACCAGTAAATTCGGTTTTTAGTGAAGGAAATCTCGCAGCGTCTAATGGCTCATACTACGTTTTTCCTTAATACGGCAGTACTGTACTCGCAACAATTTTCGACCGACGAGCGCGTGAGGACATGGATTAAGAGGAGTCCCTGGTCTTCGGTGGGGGGGGGGGGGGGTGCGGCACCGCACCATCTCGGGCTGCGGTGAGTTTATGCTCCCCGGCGCGATTAGTTGGGGGGTTTTTCTCCCAAATTGCGGTCTCGGGGCGTGCATAAAGCATGTCAGTTTACGGTGCCGCTGCGGTTCGGCCCCGGCGCGGCATCTCTATTTTCCGGTAGGCGCAACCACCCCCGGGCACCCCCGCCCCAGCCCGGCCCCGGGGGGCGGGGGCGGGGGAGGGGGCGCAAATGATAGAGTGATAAGAACGAGACAGGAGGGGGCGGCCCAGAAGGGGAGGGGCGCAGAAAGGGGCGAAGCAACAGTCCCTGCCGCCACCTGCATCCGCGACTTGGCTGGAGCTCAACTTCAAGCTCAGTTCCTCAACTTCGGCGCCCGACGCCCCACGTTCTCGGCCGCTCTCTCGTCCGTCGCGTGTTTTTCCGCGAGGATCGCGCCGAATTTCCGCCGGAAAATTTTTTCCTTTTCCTCCCGACTCGTGTTTGTGTCCGTGGTGTGTCTTGCGGTGGCATGAGCACGTGTTTTGATGAAGACCCTTAAACGCCAAAACCTGGATTTTCCCCCCTGAAAACTATCGCTCCCGGCATTTACCGGTAGTTTTTAAATCGCGTTCCTTACCGCCCGCCGCTCAAACCTGATTGATTCTCAAACTCTCGACCGAATTCTTATCTCTCTAGACCTAGTCCAAGTTTTGAGCACCGTCTCATAGTCAACGTTCACCAAACCGGACGTAACAATTATTTTCTTTCTTCATTTTTTTAATAGCATAATGGATTAAAAGAGACAAGAACTCTTCTGAAGTTCGAAGATCTGAAGTTAAATACTACGTGTCTGAAGTGGTTTAATTGTTTGCTTTTGGCCTTCCGTTTCAAGTTTTTATAGTTTAAATTGTGTTCGATTGGTTGGAATTTCTAATTAGTTATCGATCCTTATTTATGGTGCAACCATTCAAGCCGATGATCTAGGTGAGTCCTCTTTTATTGATGCATAACTTTTTTTGAATGGGAGGAAAATTTTTTGACGCAGCAATCTGACGCACGAGCTTCTTTAGTTCCTAGTTTTTTTTAGTTTCTTCAGTCTTCTTTAGTTTTTTTAGTTTTCATTATAAACGTATTCGAAATCCAAAATTTCCTAAACTCGATCAGTTATCAGGTGTTGAGATTCTGCACCTCTGCAGCTGTTCCTCTTCTTTAACGCGAATAAAAAGGCGCCGGAGAGTCACGAGGTTTGTCCTGTAACTAAAAGACCAAAAAAAAGGAGACTGTGCGCAATAAATAGCTCAAGAATTGAAGGCATTTAGAACTGGTGAAAGAATAGAAGAGGCAAATGTCACATCCAAAAATTCCACCATTCAACAGATATTTGCATGCTAACCAATGGGCCAACTGATAATTGATGCATTTAGACTGATGTGACTTTTATCTCTTCTTTTATTTCCCCAGTTCTAGGTTCTTGTACTTCAATATCTCGCTCAATGTCAGCAATACCGGATGACTCTCGTAGGATGCTTTGAATTTCCACTCTTCATGAGGACTTTATTTCGCATTAAGGAACCAATTTTTCTGACTCGTCCATAAAAGCACTTATCTGTAAAGTGAAACTAATAGCAAGTTGGTTTTTTCTGAAATGAGGCCGAATTCGTGGTTCACTCTCGCAAAATGTGTAAGGTTGTCCATATGAGGTCCAAGTTTCTTGAGCGTTCTTCATTCGCTTTCAAGTCCTTTTTTTGGTAGAAAGTGAGCAAAAGATTGTGCACAGTTCACCGTAGTACTTTGATCTCCAAGGAAATATATGTAGATGGTGAGAACAAAAAATTCTATCTCTCAGTTTGAGACGTTATGAAATTCCTGCCACGTTTTATTTCACAGCAGCGACTCCGTAATCCGTAAATTCCGCATGACTTTTTTAACAATCACGAATAAATCCTGCGGAATTTTGCGAGAAAGTATGTAAGCTTTTTTAATTATTTATATTTTTCTTTAAAGGAAAATGAAAGTAGAGAGGATAGAGCTTAAGAAACATTAGGAATTGATTTGTGCGTTTTCATTTACTATTGGTTTGCACAGAATCCTGTCTAAGCCGTGGATCTGAATGGAACATTTCTGGGAAAATAAACTTAGGCACTTGCACGAATGGGTTTAAAAAGAACCCGGAAAAACGAACGCGACAAATTCGAGGAAGGGTTCGTGTTTCGAGCCGAGTCGTAGTCAATATACGATTCCTCCCCTCATAATGAGATTTTTTTTTCTCTCAAATGAAACTTTCCAGATGTTCACCTTTTTGGAAACGCCCCCCCCCCTCCCTTCCTCCAAAAATAAAAACATATGTTTAAGGTGATTCGATGGACGCCATTTTTGTGTCAGAACGGCATGCGATATATCGCATCATATTGGTTCCATTTTTTCAGCTACTCGTCATTGTTCTCGAATTTTGAGATCGCAATTCTGTTGTCCGGAGACTAAAGCACTTACTTACCAATTTTAACAAAGAAATTCAACGTAATAAAGGAGTGGTTTTCTCTTTAGAAAAAATTACATTGAACTTGTTTGTAAAAATTGGTAGGTGAGTGCTTTAGTCTCCTAACAACAGAATTGCGATCTCAAAATTCGAGAAAAATGATTAGTAGCTGAAAAAATAGAGCCAGTCGATGCGATATATCGCAAGTCGTTCTGACACAAAATATGGCGTCCATCGAATCACCTTAAAATTATTGTACGTTAGCTGTTTATAGCAGAATGAATGTAACTTCACGGCATCGGAATTCATTGCTGTTATACTTTTAGCCGTACTTAAACCGCAGTTTTTCGTCAAATATTTTGAAAACAATTCAACGTCAATTCTTGAAAATTTCCGTGATTTTTCTTCTCTTTGCGAGAAAAATTCCATGAAAACTGGAAGGAATGGCGTAGATTCGTTCTCTTTTAAAAAAATAAAATGGGAGCGAACATTTTTAAACACCTCAAACTAGATACGTGCGGTTTGAGAGTTGCATCGTCGATATGCGGTAAACATAGGGCATCGTGAGCGTCGCTCCCCTCCCCCCCCCCTCCTGCCCAGCAAAGAAAGCTTGGAGGGTCTCATCTGGAAAAGTTTGCAAAAATAAACGCTGAAAATTGAACTTTTAAGCTGACTTAGCTTATAATTAGAGATTAATTGAGTCATGAAGTTGACGAATATTTCCCCTGGATCAGAAAGGAACATTTTTTTTTACCATTCCCACATACCGCTACAGCGGAGTCACGAGCCGTTCAAATTTCCGTAAGCTACTAAAAAGAGGGCTTGAGCTTGGTTTACCGTGTCTCCTAAAAGGGGGGGGGGGGGTAAAGCCAGGTCCTTCGCAAGCCTAACACTTGAAGAAAAACACAATTTTTTCGATAAACATAATTTCTGCCCGGATATTCCTCCGGCTCTCTCTTTTTATTTTCCGAAATATTTGGGGAGCAGGGTCAGCCCAGTCTTATGCGATTCAAAAGGAGTGGGGGGGGGGGGGGAGGGATTGTCTTACGGATGTCTTTCGGATACATTGTAAGGGAAAGAATTCGCTCAAAATTGTTTACGCAATACTCGAGCAGTTTCTTACGGTGGTAACTGGAAGAAAACTCGTGGTATTAACGATAAGTTATCCTGACAACCCTTCAGACTATTTCCCCAGATGAAAAGCTCCTGTTCATTTCCGTGCAGAGTGCGCCCGCAAAATTGTAGCGGTGAAGTGACCGACCTAATTGAGGTCGAAGCGCGGCAGCTCATTTCAAGTTTACCGCAACTTTTCCGAGCAAAACGCTGGCCGGAACCGAGATGAACTCCGTTTCGTGTGGCGTTCGGATCAAGGATACGGACCGTTGGACCGTTCGGGCTCCGAAAATAAAAACATTGATTTGCTGCTTGAAAAACACCTTCCTGTTTTTCTTCTCCCCCGACTCGGACCGCGAGGCCAAGTAGCGCGCGTTAAATTACGATCACTGATTGACCTCCTTTCCCAGATTTCTCACCGCTGAAATTGGATGAAGTTGAGTTTCGCCCGACAAATCATCCGTGGTGAGGTATCGTCTGCTATTGTGGGATTTTATTTATCGGGCAGCGCCGCTCCGCGTGTGCGTGTCAATTTTTTGTGGGCTCTTTGTCCCGTGTTTTCTTCTTCTTCTTCTTCTAACTTTTGACTAGGGCCGAGGCCCTGTTTGTCTAGCCTCTAAATTGGTAAAATATGATGGTGATGAGAGAGATCACTTAATGGTCCTCCGGGGATGAAAGGCAGCTCTGTGCCCATCTCTTGGGCGGTCGTCCGAGTTGCCTTTGGCTATGAGGTCGTCCTACCATACAAATTTTGGAAAGCCTTTCCCCGTCCATCCTCTCAATATGTTCCGACCTCATTTTTCGGCGCATCTTGGTCCATTTAGTAATATCTTGAATTTTTCACTCTTCGCAAATTGACTCATTGGTCTGCCTGTCTCGGAGAGTAAAGCTTGCTATTTTCCTCAAGACTTTCATTTCCACGGTCCGAAACTGTTGTTTAGTGCGCTTCGTGTCTGCCCGGGTCTCCACAGCGTAAGTCAGCACAGGTCCTACAATCGTTTTATAAACTCTAACTTTGCTCTCTCTAACTTTGCCCCATGTAGGTTTCCTAATAAGCAGAGGGACGTGTGCTAAAATTCGGACGTAAGCCAACCCGGCAACTTCCAAAGTTTCGCCAAATCAGAAGCAAACTGAGACTCATCGCTGTTATTGCGAGACTGACAGTGTAAAAATCATATGCATAATATGCATTATCAGTCTCACAAAAACAGCGGTGAGGCTCTTTTGTTTCTTTTAATTTGCCTTTTTTCCGGTTGAAAATTCAATTGTAATACTGTGAAACGTCCCAGATTTTTTATTATTTATTTTATGTTTTTATTTGCGCGGACTTAGTCCCATTTTACGTTGACTGATGTATGTAAAGCTCGTCAATGGAGCTCCCTTGCTCCCTACATGCCACGATTGCTACGAGCATTTGCAATTGAAGGATAGTAGAACCTCGGCTATCCGCGGTAATTAGGATCGGAGATAATGTGGAAAGTAAAACACCGAGGATGATCTCAACCGAACCGCGCACTAATAAAGTACCGTCGCAAGTAGTACCCCAAGTTGAGAAATACTCAACTTCGAGTTTGAAATATCGCGCCAAACAGAGCGCGGTCGGCGTGAAACGCGCATTAGCGCCTACAAGACTGTAGGAATACTTCACGCATTGCGCTAAACTAGCGGTCAGCGTGAGCGCCTCCAAGACTGTAGAAATACCTCACGCATTGCGCGTACACCACGGTGCGCGCTTTAATCGTTGAATATTCGTACTTTCTCGGTGTCAGAGCTACCGCTCGCGGTGTGCACGATTATCGACTAGAGTACACCGCAAATTAGAAGCCGAATACACACTAACAGAAGATTAAGTATTTAGGGGTCATTCATGAATGACATGGTACTGAGGGAGAGGCGAGTCCTGGAGGGTCTATCATGTTTTTACTGATGGAAGGAGGGGAGGTCAAGTCCAACATAACTTCAGGCTAAACTTCTTCAGAAAACTTTTCCAATCTTCAGTAAATCCTTACCAAAAAAGGCGCGGAGAGCCGATTTTTTGTTAGTAGTATCATACATTTAAAATTGTTGAGTTTATGGTTGCTTCAAGTTACTTTTAGTTACTTTTTTCTATCAGATCAACTAAAATAATTTGGTAGATCGCCTACTTTTTTGTTAAATTGACCGAAACCGATGGTTGCTCTAAGACATCTGGGGATGAAGAAAGTGTCTTGCTGCACTAATACACCCTTGTCTCTCTCAAATCTCAATATTATTCTGAGGTCGCAACTTGCAAGTGAAGAGCGCGTCAGACTATCACCAATGCTATCCAGGTTTCATTTCGCCGGTTCCAGGATAATTTTTAACGAGGTTGCAAACTTTCAACCCAAAGTTTTGGTCAATGTAACCCAAAGATAAA